TATCCACAATTGTGTATTGAATAGAGTAAACTACTTGTTTAGATCGAGAAAATCCGCGAATCACGCCCAGGGTCGCTGAAGTCTGGTAGAAGCGGACGAAGACCACAATTTCCGGATATTGAAAAACAATTATTCTCTCTGTACTGTCAGCAGCTAGAAACAGGTAGCAAGGTTGGGAATCGGTGGTTACGTGAGCGAGCTCGCGAACTTGCTGGAGATGCCAACACAGTCTGTCAGTTTTCCGAACGATGGCTGAGTAATTTCAAGAAGCGCTTTCACATAAATGAACAACGTGAAAGCGATTCCAACCTCGAAGCACAGTCAAATGACTCCACATCTAGCGATAGGCAGACATTATCAGACACTGAAGCTGATACACTCGCCGAACATACTGATGCAGAGAAAGGGATCCAACAAGATATTATTGCGGAGATTGTGAACCGACCAGGACAACTTCCCATTCAAGTGTTCTACGAAAAATTTCCTTGGCTCTGTAAGAAAGGAGCGCAAATAGAGCCAGGTCGTAGGGGACGAAAGGTGCAATTTCCAGACGTGGAACGTGTGCTTTACCAACGCCTTGTAGAAAAACAAAAAAGTGGTGAACGTGTCTCTAATCGCTGGCTGCAGGATCAGGCGCGCGATCTCGCTACCGAACTGTGCCCTGGGATTTTGGAAGAAGCCGTGAAGTCATCGCGATGCTTGTTCTCCGAGCACTGGCTCCACAATTTCAAAAAGCGTTATGGAATCAGTCTCAAGTACAAAACCGCCACAATAGAGCCGAGCATGGAAAGTACAAGCTTACTGTCGCAGATATCGCCGGCTCCTTCAGCCGACAATGTAGACGCTAATTTCACCGTTCTCCAGCTGCATACCTGGTTTATGAATCAATGCTATGCGCATCCGATTTGGGCATCAGCTAACTCGCATACACATTTTCATGATACTCACGTTGCACCATAGCCCGAGTTATACATATATAACAATCATTAGAAGCAAAAACAACAATAGTGGTGCATATTCGTCCTGTGATTTGTACAAATGGTCTGTGATACGATGCGATATTTATATATTAATGCAGATAAACATTGCGGGTTTTCTCAACTACACCACAAACAGTTTCGCCCCATAAGGTGAAGATGAATGGCAGCATAACATTAAAATATGAAGAAAAGGCGTTTTCTTCAGATGTTTCCAGTTTTTTCAAAAAAAGCAGTAATATTGAAAAATACTTCAAGATGTTATTCAAGTATCTTCTCTATGCAGGTACATACTGCGGTGGCAATATATTCAATCTCGCCTGGAAAAAATTTTTGCTTAAATTACGTTGAAGTATAGAAGTTTTTGCAATATGCATCAAAGGATATTTATACAGTTGTTTCATAATTCTTTATATTACACTGTAGGCACACGGTTAAGTGATAGCCTACTGCGTAAGCTGATTGCACTAAGAATAAAGTGAAAAACTGTTCTGGTTGATGATTTCGCGTGCATGAAGAGTTACTTGTTC